CGTTTGAAAATATTCTTTACATTTGACTTTTCTTGGTCAAAGTTTGTAAACTTTGATTCTGATTCGTGAAAAAGATACATTGTACCATGATATAAATTTAATATCAATATATTCTTAATGAAACGTAATCTTGAAATATCAAATTTTTATAAAATTTATCTATGTATAAATATAGATATTAATGGTCAAGGTGTAATATTGAAGACCGTAAAAAATCAAATGAAAAGAATATTTCAAAATAGAGGAAGTAGTAGATAGGTTTTATTGGGCACCCTGGCGCAGTATTACTTCCTCCGTCCCTTAAATTCCTTCATCTTTCTTTTTTTTGTCCCACTAACTTCTATTTTCTATTAAAACCACTTTTACATTTTATTTTTCCATACCCTACCTATGAAATCATATCTTTTTAATAATAATCTATCCATCACATCTTAGTTTTACCCATTACATTGGAAAATCAACACCAAAATATTTTCTCTTAATTTTCCAAAAAGTTAATAAGGGAAAGGAGGGAGTATGCAATTATGCATCCACTGCACACATAAGGTTTGCTAAGGGTACTTTAGTGTACACTAGTCTTCTCAGAGACACAGAAACAATGAGTATCTTTGTCTGTGTGTCTGTGAGAAGACTAATGTCATGGTATACACTAGCTGGGATACTCCTAATGTTTTTCTAAAATAATATTTTGAAAATAGATAGTTCACTCCCTTCATTCTAGTGTACTTATCTATGTAACTTTTTTTGAGTCAAATTAGACAAATTTTTATCATCAATTACTTTTAGGGTCTGTTTGGTATACGGAATTGGTGGAATAGGAATTGAATTGGAATTAAGATTCCATGTGATTCAATTCCATGGAATTGAATTTACCAATTTAAATTCATTTTTCGCACTATCAATTCCAAATCAACATAATATTTGTACTACCAAACACAAGAATTGGAATTGAAGTTTTCAATTCCAATTCCACAATTTGAATTCTTTGCACCAAACGGGGCCTCAATTTGTAGTCCATCTGTCCTAAAATAGTCTTTCCAGATACTATTCACATTGTCAAAATACAATCATTTTTCTTTACTTATTTTCGGTAGTTACTTGAAAAATAATATAGTCATGCCACATCTTGTTTTGTAAATCTTTTGATGTTGTTTTAAAATATATGATTTTTTACTTTTTAATTTTACACCAATAATCAAATAAATTGAATTGAAAATAAATTCAGTCAAATCTCGCAAAGAGAACTGGATGGGAAGATGATTTTAGGACAGCGAGAGTATTACATATTAATACAATAGATTTAAAATTTAAAAATTTTGAACAAGATAAATTTAATAGGATACTCTGTAATTTTTATGCTGAAACACATTAGCATTTTTTATTGAATTGAAGTCTAAAATACTCCCTCCGTCCCAAATTATTTGCCACATTTGTATTTCCGAGGCAAAATATCAAGTTTTTTCAATTCATTTTATTCACATATTGGTATAGAAATAAAAAATAAAATTTACATATAAAAAAACTACATGAAAAGTTCTTCGAAATAAGAGGTGTCAAAAATATTTTATTTTATCAAATAACCAATGAAAACGTCGAAATAAACAAAAGTTCCCGCGACTGCTAAAAAAGGAAATGTGGTGAATATTTAGGGACGGAGGGAGTACATCTAACTACTTTGACTAGAAAAAATAATCAAACATGATGAATACACTGGAGGAATGGAGATAATAAAATATTAAAAAAAAGTTACTGCGAGTCTAGTACTAGTAATTAAAGAACCGACCAGTGGTAAAAGAAGAGAAGAAGGGGAATAGAGGAGAGGAGCTGTCATGCATGCATACGTAGGCGTAATTAAGAATAACTGTAATCTATCATTAATGAAAGGGGAAACAGTATTATTTTAGTGTAATCATTTCACAAATCTCTCCTCTCTGTCTTCTTCTTCCTTCCTTTCTTATTTACTCCCTTTCCCATACGTTTCCAACTTCCCTATGCCCCCCAATTTATTACTCACTAATAATCTCTCTTTCTCTCCATATTCATTTCCTAGGTTTTTCCTTTATTTTGTCCGCAAAAAATATACTCTAAACTTTGTACTGAAACATATTCTAAGCATCCCTAATTATCATTTTTTATGTTACGTCCACTAAATAGCACCAGTATCCTCGTAGTTTGAAAAATAGGCATCAATAATTCCTTATTTTCTAAACTCATTTTTAAAGCTAAGTCCTCGTCATTTCAAAATATTGCACTTATAACCCGTCTGATCATTTTTCGTCAATTTTTCCGGTAAAGAAAGGGGCATTAGTGAACATTTTCCAAACCATATTGGACATTGGTACTCATTTCTTATTTTTCATTAATTTTTTGTTTTCCCTTTTTTGTTTATTTTATTTATCAAAGTTTTAAAATTTCTTTTTAAAATTTTTATATAATGTTTTTAAAATTTAAAATTATTTTTGTTTGAAGAAGGTTTGTATGTTTCAAATTTTAAAAATTATTTTTTTTCTAAAATAAAAAGTTAAAAACTTGTTTTGAGGACTTCAAAAAATGAGGAATAAAATAAGAAATAAAATAAAATAAAACATAAAAATGAATAGCCTCGTTGGACATCCCAATAAAAATGAATATCTTTTAGATGTTTCAATTTTTTTTCATTTCGTTTTTTATATTTTTATTTTTATTTAATTATTTTTTATTTTCTTTTTGAACTTACCAAAAATATTGTTCTAGAAAATAAAAAGTTAAAATGTTTAATTTGAGAGTATATATATATTTTTTAATTTCAAAAACAAAGATTTTTGAAATTTTTAAAAACCTTATAAAAAATTTAAAAGAAATCTAAAAATATTTTCTAAGAAATTGAAACAAAAAGATAAAAAAAACTTCAAAAAAAGGGGAAAAAAGGTAATGAACTAAAAATAAGAAATGAGCATATATGTCTGCCCCCTATAGTTTAGAAAATAGACACCAATGTCCCTCTTTGTCGAAAATGGTTGAAAAATGATCTAGCAGGCGTTGGTGTGCAACATTTTGTAAAATAGACACCAATGTCACACACACACACACACACATATATATATATGTATGTATTTATACATACATACATACATACATACATACATACATACATACACACATATATATATATATATATATACATACTAATTAACTAAAATAATATTTTGAAAATAGTTTAAAATATACTCCCTCCGTCCCAAAAAAAATTACACGTTTCAAAAAAATTGCGTCCCACAATCCCTTACCCATTTCTATTAAAAAACCACTCTTACCCCTTACTTTTTCAAACCATACCTATCACATCATACCTTTTTTCAAATAATCTACACATCACATCATACTTTTACCCATCACATTAAGGGTATTTTTGGAAAGTCAACACAAAATTATCCCTTCCTTAATTTCTATTTTAGTCAAAACGTACCCATCTTTATGGGACGGAGGGAGTAAATTTTAATTAAACTGTTCTTGTATCGTTATACTCCCTCCGTCCCATAAAGTGTTACCCATTTTGACTAAAGTTGAAATTAAGGGAGGGATAATTTTGTATTGACTTTCCAAAAATACCCTTGATGTGATGGGTAAAAGTAGGATGTGATGTGTAGATTATTAGGAAAAAGGTATGATGTGATAGGTAGGGTTTGAAAAAGTAAGAGGTAAAAGTGGTTTTTTAATAGAAATGAGTAAGGGATTGTGGGAAACAATTTTTTTGAAACGTGTAAATCTTTTTGGGATGGAGGGAGTATAATATAAATTATATTTAATTAAAAGAATTCATATTTTATCGCAAAAAGTTAAAACAGAATAATAGGATAAATATTTTGTAACGAAGGTAATACTCGGCGTGTCATTGTCAATTGTAATATGCAGCTATAGATGGCATTGGATGCCACAACTAAACAGGCTATGCTAGGAACCATTTTGTATCAGTACAAAATTAAATCACATTCAACACCCGCATGCATACATGATATATACGTGGAACACTACTAGTCTACAACGCACTTTTCCATTTTTTTTATTTATGGCCTTAATAAAACACGAAATATTGCATTCAAAAAAAAACACGAAATATTTGTGTCACAATAGAGAAGGAAATGGAAAAGAAATTGAATGTAAGTTGGAAAAAAAATCTCTACATGTGGGGTGAAATGGGAGGTAGGGATGGTAACAGGTCGGGTTTGAGTATATTGAAACCCGACTAGAGTCTGAGTAATATAGTCTTTCAATCCCAAAATAAATTAAATTCTTGGGAAATTTATTTAAATAATACTAAAACATAATGGCTTCCTCTAAATAGCGTCACATGTGTTTTTTCCCAATTTGCATTTAGTCATTATCTATTAATCATTATTCAAGTAAATATTTGACATCACTAGACATTATGGACATTATTAAGTCTTATTTAAAAAATAAAATAGTTTAAGTGCTATTTGGCGAAAGGACTTACGGAGTATGATTTAGTGCAAATATTTCTTATTGAAACCTTTGTTTATTTATATATTTACATGATGAATAATTTACTAAAATATGACTAAAACATAATGACTTTCTCAAATAACACTTTAATTGTTTTATTCCCTAATTAGCACTTGAATAATGACTAATGGACAATGACTAAAAGTGCTACATTGGAAAAAATTCACGTGATGCTATTTGTATCCTTGGAAAAAAATTTCGGTTAGTTCGGTTTTGACCCGAAACCGACCGAACCAAACCGACTTCGGTTAAAAAAACACAATGACTAAAAGTGCTACATTGGAATAATGACTAAGGATACAAATGTATTTTTACTTTATCACATTTTCTTTCCTCCTACTTTTCCTCTTATTTTCTATACATCCAAAAAATAACTTGTTTCTTTTACTTTTCTTTTTCATTTTCTATTCTCTTCATTTTCTTTCCTTTTACTTTCTTTCATTGAATTTTCTCTCATCATAGAAAGATACCATTAACAAAGTACTCCGTATAATTCAGGTAGAACATAGATGTAGGGCATTGGCAGTGATAGTAACAATGTAAAGTTAACAAGTCCCCAAATAAACACAATCATTTCCATTTTCCTCCGACGACTATAAAATCTCCATCCCCCCTCTCTTCCCATTCACTCGTCCAAAAATATACATCATACATATATCACCAAATTAATTGTTAAGGATTACTCCGTATAATTTACAAAAATGGATGAAGCCATCTTCAAGATGCTCGCCGGAAACCCCACCACCGACTTCTCCGCCCCCGCCGCCCCAACCCCTCCGCTTTCCCGGAGGTGCACCTCCGTCAGGAGGGCCAATCGGGACGGTAGCTCCACCGTCGTCGGCGGTGTGAAGTACCGCGGTGTCCGCCGCCGCCCGTGGGGCCGCTTTGCGGCCGAGATCCGAGACCCCATTTCGAAGGAGAGGCGGTGGCTTGGGACCTACGACACCGCTGAAGAGGCCGCCTGCGCGTACGATGCGGCGGCCAGGGCCATGCGGGGGGCGAGGGCGAGGACCAACTTCTTCTACCCGCCGCCGCCCCAGCATTATCCCGCCTTCCTCCACCGCCCCATGCTGACGTCACTGAACAGTGACGTCAGCATGGGCTCTGAGGCTATTAATAACACTCCATCTCCATACTTCTTGAGTCAAATCTCTTCTTCGTCGTCACACTCGGGGAATAATTCCATTTATACCCCTCCGGCATGCATGGCGGCGTCACCTCCCTCCCTGAAAATGACGACGGAGGCGGCGGCGTTCGATCGGAGCGAAGAGATATTCAGCTCCGGAGCGGATTTCTTTCAATCTCAGCCGTCGAAATCCGGGCTTTTAGAAGACGTGGTTAACGGCTTCCTCCCGAAATCCCAGCCGTCAAAATCCGGGCTTTTAGAAGACATTGTTACTAGCGGCTACCTCCCAAAATCTCAGCCGTCGCCGCCTCTATCCGCCGGTGACGGTTTTGATCAAAATGGTGTCTTGGGGGTCACCGGCGATCGTTTCGAGGGAGGAGATTTTCGGAGTTTCAGTTACGATACGGCGCCGTTTCATTTTCCCGGTGAGTTCCCGACGTGGGGCGGCGGCGAAGGGGGTGTTTGGGATTATTTAACTGGGAAGCAACAGCATATATAGTACTTTTAATAATGACTACTAATGGTTTTTTTTACCGAATGAAAAAAAAATTGCATGTGAAAATGCGCGGATAGAATTTTGAATGGGCTAATTAATTTCCAGGGGATACACTAAATTCAAATGAAATCATAGTTAACCAGTTTTTGTGGTCTAATGACAGTGGTTAATTAATGTGAAATAGTAAAAGAAATAACCCGTAGAGAACATTGGATTTAATACGGAGTAATTAAATTAGTGTTGGTGTTAAGTCATCATTTTGTTGTACTTGGGATTTGGGGATATGAATCATTTGGTTATATATAGACTTCATGGCATCATCCACAACTCTTGGGATCCTTTATGTATTTTACATACTTCGTTGTATTTTGGATATTTATACATCTTCTCGTATACGGAGTATTATTTATAGCGTCAAATTTATTTTATTTTATTTGTTTATTTTTTTTACTAACTTTAATTTCATAAAATAATATAGTTGTGTCATCATTAGTTTTAAATATTGTTTCATATGAGTTTTAACTATACGAATTTTATTTATAAATTTTACCCATATAATAAATTAATTGAATTAAAAATAAAATCAGCCAAGCTTAATAACCAGGGCTGCTCCCGAAAAATGAAAAAATAAAATTTGCTCGGTCCAAAATTTACATTTTGTGCCATATTTCATATTTTTAGAATACTTTTTCTTTAAAATCATTAACAAATTTAAAATATGGTGCTCTAATTTTTAAGGGGTCCTGTGCCGCTGTGCGGTTGGCCACTTTGCACACCCTCCGGACCATCCATGTTTATAACGAGAAGATATTAACTGGACAAAATGGAGTGTTTTAGAGGTTTGCCTAGTCTCCATAAGAAAGCGTTTGTATGAATATATGGCTTGCAGGAGTTGTGCTTATTGTGCATTCTAAAAGTTCCAATATACTCTCTGTCTGGAGGGATTGAAAGTTTTAAAATCTCATAAAAAATAAAACTGCTTGGTTTAAAAACTTTAAATTTTGAAAAGGATCAAAACAAACTAATTAACCATTTTTAAAATTCAACTATACTCTATACTTTCTTCGTCTCTAAGTTTGTTTTTCCTTTTTGATAGATATAACGAAGAATTAATTTTGTGTTGACTTTGTAAATATATTGTTGATATGATGGGTAAAGTAAAATCTGTAACTTATTAATAAATACTACTCTCACCGTTCTCAAAAACACTTCTTCTTTTATTTTTTCCACTTCCAACAAAACACTCCCTTTTCTATTAAAAAACCACATTTACCCTTACTTTTTCATACCCTACCTATCACATCATATTTTTCTCTAATAATCTATCCATCACATCTTACTTTTACCCATCACATCAGGGGCAAAATTGGAAATCAACTATAATTTAACACTTCCTTATTTTTGCCCCAAATCCAAATGGGAAGTGTTTTTCCAAACGGAGGGAGTAGTAGATATGATATGTGATATGTAAGATACGGAGTACAAATTATTTTTTTAATAGAAAGTGAAAAGTTTTGTTGTGACGGATTAAAGAGAAAGAGAAAAGGGTTGAAGGGACTAAGCGAGTACAAGTTAATGGGAGTAATAAAAATATTTTACTCCCTCCGCCCATAAAGATGGATACGTTTTGACTAAAGTAGAAATTAAGGGAGAGATAATTTTGTGTTGACTTTCCAAAAATACCTTTGATGTAATGGGTAAAAATATGATGTGATGTGTAAATTATTAGGAAAAAGGTATGATGTGATAGATAGGGTTTGAAAAAGTAAGGGGTAAAAGTGGTTTTTTAATAGAAATGGGTAAGGGATTGTGGGACGCAATTTTTTTTGAAACGTGTAAATCTTTTTGGGACAGAGGGAGTATTAACTAAGGTATAAAGACACCTGCGTACATGAGAATGGACATTTAGCCTGTTTGGGAATAGCTTTAGCGATTAGCGTTAGCGTTTTCAAAAGGCTATCTACGGGCAGCGTTTAGCGTTAGCGTTTTCAAATTAATCTGCACCGTTAAAATTTTATCCAAAACGCTGACGTTAATCGATAACGCTATTCCCAAACAGGCCCATAATTTAAAAAGGAGAAGAGGACCAAAGCAAAAAAAACAAGAAAATGTTTATTTTTAATTATAGAGCATACTAATTAAAGGGAACAAAAAGTTAAAAGTGAAATTTGCATTGAATAAGACTAAGGGGTGTATTCAATTCAGATTTTAGAAGATTATAATAGATTGTTTAAAATTCATGGATTCTGTAAAATCAATAGATTGTTTTAGGTCTATGCAGAATTAGGTAGATTTTAATGTATTTTTATCAGAAAGATTTTTAAAAGATTTTCATGAATTCCAATTTCTTTAGAATCTTCAAACCCCAGCGGAACTCTTCTGCATAATGCTCCTACCCTTCGTCTTCTCATCTTCGAAATATGAAGAACAACCCCATTAGAAAGCTATCTTTCTCCGAATCTCACAACACCATAACAAAGTTGTAAAGGAAATAAAAGGAACAAATACACCTGGGAATGAAAATGAACAATGGCCTGGAACAATTCAATAGCTATGAACATCAATGATAATGGGCGAAGTTGCAAAAGAAATAGGCGAAGGTCTAAAAATTGCAGGCACGAAGATGAAATTCCAGATATTAGCCACAATAAATCTGCGAAGTGGTGAGAACGGAAGATGAAACCGACTGGCGAGGCAAGAAGATGAAATTCCAGAAATCAGCGCCTCCCATCTCGGCCAAAATTTTCAATTTTTGCAGTGGAAAATTAGAAATCTGGCCTTTAGATAGGCAAATTTCGGAAAAGAATCCAACGAAGTCCATGGAGTTTTAAAAATCATGGATTATTGAATACTTAGAGATTTTTTAAGAGTTTTTAAAATCTATATTGAATATCCCATGATTTTTAAAGACTTGAGAAAAATCTACATTGAATACTTCAAAATTTTAAAAGATTTTTGAAAATCCAAATTGAATACCTCCTGATTTTGAAAATCTTAAGAAATTCTATAAACTCTTAATTGAATACATCCCCCTAAAACATATTCCCAATGTAGGACCTAAACTTTTTTATTCCCTAAATAGGACTTAATAATGACTAGTGAGAAGAATAATGTCCAAGTGATGCTGGACATTTAGTTGAATAATGACTAATAGATAATGACTAATGACTGATTAAATTGTGTTTCATTGCATATGATTAGGTGTTTATAAAATAAAATTTTACATTGTCTATTACCAAATTTTAAATTCAATGTAAATATTTGAAATAAAATTTATTTTTGTTGTTTTAAATTGCATCCTGAAAAACTTTCGGGAACCCTGCCCCTACTAGTGATGCCCCCAACTATTTGAATAACTGAATGGACCATGCTACACTTACACCAAAAAATGTACCCTATTTGTACACCATACTTATGCACAAACATTTTGATAGTTTACACCGACACAAATGTTGGTGCGTTAACAAAAATTTATACGGACACAAAGTGTTGGTGCATTAACAAAAATTAGTTTTACACCAACACAAAATATTGATGCAAACCTGCGGACTACAAATTAAGGTATAAATATTGGGGTACACATAGCTTAATCCATGACAGAATTTGCCACTAGCCTAAATCGGAGGAAGAAAAGTAGACAAGAACCAAGAATAAGAATTATTTTTAGGGAAAACCACTAAATTAGGAGTACACATAGAAAAATTGTCAAAATCTCTAAAATATGAGTATAATGCCAGTACAAAAAACGGAGTGAGATGTAACTATGCAGTGTCTTTAATTTATGTCTCAGTGTAAACTCGTATTTGGAAATAAAAAAACATGAAATTCTTATTTTGAGGATAAACGTTACACCCTCCATTTAAAAAAAGCTCTCGGTCTGACTTGTCACAAAATTTAAAGAAAATGAAAATAATATGTCGTTGAAAGTGATACAGAGGAGAGAAACTCTATGAGTCACTCAAAATTTTTCATAGAAGGAAAGAAGAGGCTTTTTGAAAAGTTCCAAAAAAGAAAATAAAGAGTTCTTTTTTAGACCGATTTCTTTTATTTTTAACATAATCTGACCGTGCAAGGGTGTAATCGTCGGCATCGATCAGCACGCGCGAGGCAACGATAGCTAGCAGCGACATGGTTGTGCAGGTGAGAAGAAGAAGAAGAAAGAAAGGCGGAAAAAAAAGTCATGCGGCGGCAGTCCTCGGAAGAAGAAGAAAAGATGTAGCCATTTGATTTTGGTTTAAAATTTACTCCTTCCCCTTATTATTTTTAAATGAGAAATTTACCTAAATAGAACTAAAACATAATGACTTTCCCAATATAGGACCATATATTTTTATTTTCCAATGTAGGACCTTTGGTCATCATCAAGTAGTCATTATTTAACTAAATGTCCATCATTACTGGACATTATTCCTTCCACTAGGTCATTATTAAGTCCTATTTAGGGAATAAAAAAGTTTAAGTCCTACATTAGGAAAGTCATTATGTTTTAATTCTATTTAGTGCAAATTTTACTTTTTAAATTTTGTTCACCTGGTTTGTTTGTTTTCCTTGTTCATAAAATAATATTGTTATACTCCCTTTTCGGTCCCTAATTTGATTACAAATTGAGGTTTACGAAAAAAATTTGTCACTTTTTGAAACTATTTTATTTACAAATCGGTATGTCAGTAAAAAATAAAAATTACATATTAGAAAACTACGTCAAAATTTTTACAAAACAAGGGGTGACAATTTTTTTTTATTTTTGCAAGTAATTAATAAAATCGCGTAAGTGAACAAATTAAAAGTTATCGATAAGAGAGGGAAAAAATTGTAATCAAAATGAGGGCGGAGGGAGTATCATGTTTAGTCTTGTACTCCGTAGATCATTTGATGTATTCGATCTCTCTGTCCCAAAAAATTTCTCCTTTCTTTTTTCATATTTTCCAAAAAACTTTTTTCATTTCTTTTAAAAAGTCATTTTTACTCATACTAATTCTTAACCTTTCTATCATATCACATTTTTTTACTACTATTATACCCATCAAATCTATTTTTTACCTATCACATACAAGAGCATTTTTGAAAAGTCAACACCAAAATACATTCTTTTGGAATCACTTAAAATTTAAAGCAAGAAATGTTTTGTGGGACGGAGGCAGTATTGTTTAAATATTTAATTTTTTTAACTTCATACGAGTTTTCATATAAAATTAATTAAAAATATTTTAGTCAAATATCGTAATGCACAACGAAAATACTCTCTCTATAATAACTACTAAAAGGGTATTTTAGTAAATGCGTAATATTATATACTCCCTAATAATTGATTAGTTGAATCTTATATACGGGAAGAAGTCATGTTTTACATATGCAACAAAATTTATACTTCCTGTGTCCCAAGGAATTTTTGTATTTTGATTTTTTGTGTAACTGTGACACTCTTTGACTATAAATTATAATAATAGTATATTTAATTTTATTATAAATTTAATATTTAAAGTTTTCATTTCATTTTTTTCAAATACAAACAATTTTTCTTTAACCAAAAAAGAGAAGAAAATAGAAAACCGGTGAAGAAAAAAAGAGATATGGTGTTAGTGTCCATTTCCAAAATCATACGGGACATCAAAGCTATTTACCTAAGATTTGAAGAGTATTTTAATCTAGAGGTGCATTAATGTAGAAATATGAGAACCATAAAGGACAATGACTTAAGTTTTGAAACTATAAGAGTAACAGTGCTCATTTACCAAACGACGGAGGGGTCTTTGTGTAATAAACTATAAATTATTTTTACATGTGATTATACATACTCGATGTTTATTTTTATATAAATATTATTATAATAGAATGTAAATTGTCATGATTGATTAACTCTTAGATATGTGGTATGAAGAGGTGATGAAGGGGTAATGAATGATGATTGGATATAATTAAATGGGATGATGTAGAGTATCAAGAAATACGAGTACTTGGTATGTTGGAATGCATTCGAAGTAAATTTTGATTATTTAGAATTACTCCCTTCGTCTTAAATTGATCTTTCGAGGGACTATTAATGAGTGTAAACGATGCGTTAAATTTTGATTATTTAGAATTACTCCCTTCGTCTTAAAATGATCTTCCGAGGGACTATTAACATGGTCAAACTTTAATCACTTTCTTTACTTATTTCCGTTAGTTATTTGATAAAATAATATAATGATTATGTCACACCTTGTTTTGTAGAATTTTTGATGTAGTTTTAAAATATAGCTTTTAGTTTTTTTTAATTTTACACTTTAACCTTCGTAAACCGAACTAAGAAGATCATCTTAGGACGGAGAAAGTAAAATGATGAAACCCCTCCCCTCCTTCACCCGTTGCCCATCTAAACACTAAAAATATTTGTCTTCATTAGAGATTGAACGTGTGACCTCTTATTTAAAAAAATCATTTTGATGTCATTGAACCCTAAGGTTTTTTTACACATGTGACATGTACATTTATTCATTTATTTTCGTTTTATCGTAAAAATTATATTTTTAAATTAAATCTGAATAAAAAAATTCACAACATATATTCAAATGTACTTCGTGTTTGTAATATTTTCATGAAATTCCGTGTTTAACATGTACCTCTCCCTCTCAACCCACGGGCCACGGCCCACCCGCGTCAAAAACACGACAAAAGCCTACTTGAGAGTCAATGGACGCGTTTGGCTGTCAAGAAATGGTCCGAATGATTAAGGCATTGAAATGGTCTTGTTTTTCCACATTATTCTTTTTCCACATTTTTCTTTATTATTTGATAAATTATACTCCCTCCGTTTGGAAAAAGTGTTCCTATTTTGACTTTGTGTAAAAATAAGGAAGTATTAAATTGTAGTTGACTTCCAATTTTGCCCTTGATGTGATAGGTAAAAGTAAGATGTGATAGATAGATTATTAGAGATAAAGTATGATGTGATAGGTAGGGTATGAAAAAGTAAGGGTAAAAGTAGTTTTTTAATAGAACGTGGAAGTGTTTTGTTGGAAGTGAAAAAAATGAAAGAGGAAGTGTTTTAAAAAACGGAGGGAGTAATAACTAATAATCTATTTGGAAAGTTTCAAAGATATAATGTGAAATAAATTTTGAAATTAAAAAAAAAATAATGTTCTCACTGCCTCAATTTAAGTTGTCTGTTTACAATTCATATGGTTAGATTTTAATCACATTTTTTACTTAATCAAATTTTAAATTTTAGTCTTGTTACTTTTTTGGTAAAAGTTTTGATATAGTTTTCAAATATATAAATTCAATTTTTTTAACTGCTTACCGATTTTAAAATAAATTGAATTGAAAAATAAATTCAATCAAGCTCTGTAAACAACAAGCGACTCTTTTTGGATAGAGGGAATACGAGTTTTGAAATCTGAATTAAATTATTAATTCGTTTGAAGAAATTTTAAATCGTGATTTAGTTAGTGATAGACAAAGATGATTGGCAACGAGGGTGATTGCTCGTGGTAGCCAATGGCAGGGTTGATCGACAGTTGAGGGAGATATCAAAGTCTCATATTTAAGACTTGTGAGTTGTGATATACTCCCTCCGTCCACAAATAAACTTCACATTGCATTACAATGTTTGACTGAAATTATTTTTAAAAAAAGGGTTGGACCTAAATAAATTTTTTTTCTTGTTAAATTGTTCATTTAACAAGAAAAGACTTAACCAAAATCATAAATCAAATACTACCTCATTTCTAGACTATTGTCTAATTTAACTTTTTTGAATGAAATAGGACAAACGTTAATAATCACATTTAACTAGCTTACATTGCATATTAATATAATTAAATAAATTTTTAATAGTTTTTTACAAGATAAATATAATGAGATCATTTTTGTATTAATTGTCAATATAATTTTTGTTTAAATGATGAAAAAATGCGAATTTCAAAATTATATTAAAAATTTTGCAAAACAAGATGTGACAATAATATCTTAGTATTTTACTCTTATTTAATTTAATTGTTTTGGGATAAAGGGTGTACATGGCAACAAAATACCAACTTTTTTCGTGGGAGGATAAATAGTAGAGGAGGATCAAGGCAGTGTCCCGTTTAATTTATTTTTTCTGCTCATTATTTATTCTTATTATAATCAGATCAAATCAAACCAAATAAAAAACAGCTTTAATTATAACTGTAATCAAATCAGATCAATTCAAATTAGACTAATTAAATCTTCAAGCAACCCAAATGCCCGTTCGAAAATTCAAGAAAAGTACACATGTTTATAGGCTGTAGAAGTGGTGGGGTCAGAATACATGAGAAACGGCTTCCTTTGTAAACTGCCACCCGTTAACCACAAATCATAAGAACACTATTCCCTTTTTTTCCCTTCTTCTTACATCTCAAACGGTCTTCATTTTCTCTGCTCGGACATCAATCGTCTCCTCGAAATTTCTCTCTTTTTTTCTCGATTCTCCGCGTTTTGTTCCTTCGTCAGACAATTTCTTGCTTCATGTTCTTTCTTGAATTTGAGAAATTTGAGAAATTCTCTGTTTCTTGAATCTGGGTATCCCCAGTTTTGCCGATTGGTTTCTGGGTCTGATTGCAATTGGGAATCAGGGTTCTTTTGATTTGGGTTCGGATTGGATCTATAGAGGAGGGGATTGAAGGCGATGCACGTCGCCAGATTCTGCGAAAGAGTTTATACAAAGATGGTAGAAGGGGGATCTCGTTACTGTTCAAAGAAGAAGGATGATATCTGCTATGGGGTAAAGCTCCCATTTCATCTCTGTTTTTATTTTTTTTTTCTTTTCACAGTTAGATTTCTAGAAAAAGGTGGAATCTTTTTCTAGCAGGCCATATTTTTTTGCTTGGATTAGGTTTTGGATTTTTTTTCTTTTGTTTCAGAAAAGGGATCATCATTTTCATGTGTAGTTTCACGGGATCTAATCAAATGTTTTCTGGGGGGTCTGAATTATAGATTTTGGATGGTTTTTCGAAGCTTTTAGTTTTAGCATTTTAGAACGCAATCAAAGACATCACTAAAATTATCCAAAATGCTAACACTAATTGAAAGTGGTGTTCCCAAACAAGACTTTCTTGAGTAATATGTGTGGTTTTTTTTCTGAAAATAGTTGGCAATGGATGTTTCTTGAGATTTTAATAGATATTACCATATCTGCAGGACTCTGGTCGGGGATTAAGCATGTCAAGGTTAAAATGTCTGCTTCGCGGCCTGGACTTGAAAGTTTTGATCTTTCTTTTCGTTCTGATACCGACTTGTGGTTTCGGCATCTATGTCCATGGCCAGAAAATCACTTACTTCTTGAGACCGTTATGGGAGAAACCCCCGAAACCGTTCCATGAAATCCCCCACTACTATGACCCCAATGTGACAATGGAGAATCTGTGCAAGCTTCATGGGTGGGGAGTCCGGGAGTTCCCCAGACGGGTTTATGATGCTGTGCTGTTCAGTAATGAAGTGGACATGCTGACTGTGAGATGGAAGGAACTATACCCTTACGTGACAGAGTTTGTTCTTCTTGAATCGAACTCGACTTTCACTGGCTTGCCAAAGCCGCTGTACTTTGCCAAGAACAGGAAGGGTTTTGAGTTTGTTGAGCCAAGACTGACTTATGGTAAAATTCCAGGGAGATTTAAGAGGGGAGAAAACCCGTTTGTCGAGGAGGCTTATCAGCGATTGGCCCTAGACTATCTCCTCAAACAAGCTGGCATTCAAGATGATGACTTGTTGATCATGTCAGATGTCGACGAAATCCCAAGTGGGCACACCATAAATCTCTTGAGGTGGTGTGAGGGTACCCCTCCAGTCCTCCACCTAAGACTCAAGAATTACCTCTACTCGTTCGAGTTCTTTGTTGACAACAACAGTTGGAGGGCTTCAGCCCACAGGTATCAATCCGGCAAGACAAGATATGCCCACTACAGACAGTCAGATGAGATCTTGGCTGATGCAGGGTGGCACTGCAGCTTCTGCTTTCGCCGTATCAGCGAGTTCATATTCAAGATGAAAGCTTACAGCCATTGCGACAGAATAAGGTTCTCCCATTTCCTCAACCCCAAGAGAGTGCAGAAGGTGATATGTGAAGGGGAGGATCTGTTTGATATGCTCCCGGAGGAGCACACTTTCAAGGAGATCATTGGGAAGATGGGGCCCATCCCACGCTCCTACTCTGCCGTTCATCTCCCCTCCCATCTCTTGCAGGACTTTGACCGTTACAAGTTTCTATTGCCCGGGAACTGCATCAGAGAAACTGGATGATGATGATGATGATCAAAGTGAGAGTAGTTAGTTACTCTTAACTGCTAAACCCCCCATCCTCTAAATGAGATAGGCCTTGTTTGGGAACAACTCTTTCTATTAAATGGTGTGCATTAACTCTGAAAATGTTAAGCTCAATGCTGTCATTACATAGCCTTTTCAAGACGCTTAACCTAAACACTGAAGTTGTTTCCAAACAGGCCCATAATGTAGGATGTTTTTCGGATGAATTCCCACTCTCGGGCGATCTGAATAGAACAATGATTCTTTATAGGTAGGGGTAACTTCGGCCTACACCCGTCTTCATCCCTAGACACTACGACTGTTTATATACCAACTTGTGTATATCTTTGTATCCGATCCATCGACGGAGAATTTTTGTTGGACACCAATTTATTTATTGTTTCTCAACCTGCTTGCTTCTCTTCATTTTCTTCTTTCTTAGCATTTCTTAGCTTGTCTATTGCTTGGTAATTAATGGAACATTTCCTATCTTTTCTTGTGTTGATGAGATTTAAGATATTTGAGCATTATGCAAATAACAAACATTGTTTATTTAGTTTTTTTTTTTTCAAGCAAGATAATGGATAGTTGGGAGGCCATGGGAGTTTATGAAAGTTCACATACTGCCTTTCATACCCTGCCCCCCTTTTTTTTGTTATTTTAGCACACATTTTTAGCAATTTATTACATGCAGAAATGTTCAAAGCTTAGTGTCCCAATTTTGAGCCTTCCAAGTTCAATCCTCCAAACCCTTGTACTCAACGTAATGCACCCGCCCGTTGGGTCCGCCGGAATACTTTGTGGTTTCTTGCTTATAATAGTAGGGTTCCGCCACGACGGGTGGTGGAGCATGGTGGTGGTGAGTTTCGCCGCCTCCATATCCTCCGCTCCTCTGCAGCTTGTCACTGAAGATTTTGACTGCCTCTTCCTTCACAAACTCGCTCACACGGGCGTTAGTGTGGAACTTCTCTTTGCCGTGGTGGGACCCTTCGTGGTGGCGCTTCTCGTCGCAGCAGTTTTCTTTGATGCAGTACTGGTGGTCTTTGTGGACGTGACTGTGGTGGCTTTCGTGGGTTTTTCCGGGGATGAGGTGGTGGCCGTCGTGGTGGATTCCGGCGACGTGGTGGTGGTGGGTGGTGGGCATGCATGGGCTAGGCCTCACCATTTGCATGCTTGAGGAGGTTTGGTTGACACAAAAGTTGTCATTGCAAAATGACTCTTTCTCTTTGTGTGCATAGCTCATTTGCTTGTAGGCCTCACTAGGAAACATTTCTCTTTGGATAACCATTTTTTTTTTGTTATGAAAATTGGGAGTTTGATAAATGTGATTTAATTCTTGATGGGAATTGTGAGTGAAATTTATGTGTGTATTTATAGGGTTTGAAATGGGATTCCTAGTTGATAAGAATTGTTACTATTATTTGTTCTTTGTCACAATTTTGGAATTTCTTTCTTTTTTTGCCAAATGGAGAGGAGCATATTAATTGTGCGGTGGTCACTAATTTCAGTTGGCATCCAAATTAATTAAAGTGATTGAATGATTGAATGACATTCTTAAGGCGTTTTTTTATTCCTTTTTGCAACTTGTAAATAGAAATGGGATGTGATGGAAAAATTAAGGGGAAAAAAGATCGATATTATTCTGGATCATATTAACATGATATCAAATTCAAAAACGGGCTTTCATATATTTTAATAAAAACGTAAATTCTCAAACAAATTGTTTTGTTTTCGATATGGTATTGAATGGATTTCAAAAAATTAAGAATTAAAAATCTTGAATCAGATTGTGAGTAGTAGGATGTTATAGGCTGATTAACTAATTAAAAAATTTCATTTGCCTTCGGAAAAGAAAATCATTTATCATTTTTTAACATTCTCTATTATCTAATCTCTATTAATTTAAACTTTTCAATTTCCAAATACCCTATAAAAATATGAGAATGTAAGAATGTGTTTTTTATTTGTTTATTTGTTTTTTTATTGCATCTTGCACGTGAAAACTGATATTTTTTAAATAATAGTGAGATTCGAACTCATGACCTCTAGCTCCGCAAGACTTTGATATTATATCAAGAAACTCACTCAACTTAACAGTCATCTCAACGTTAATGTTTGTGTCCTTTGCTACGAGTTTATTGTACCAATGCCTCATGTGGTTTGCTAAATATGCACCGTTGTCACCCTGTTTTCAAAACTTACACCATTGCCTCTCATGGTTCTAATATTCCTACGTGAATACCCCTTTAGACTAAACTACACGTTTAATTTGTTATTTTCTAATTATCATATTCTTTTTACACTTAGGCTCATTTCTCATTTTCGGTTCTTTTTCTGGTTTTAGTTAATTTTTTTGTTTTTGTTTTTTCTTGTTGTTCTTTTCTACGCTGGGCTTGGTGTCCCTTCACACGTAGCTCTCTCATCGGCTTCTCGTTATTTTTGGAGAGTCTCATGTCGTTTGACGTACTAAGAAGCAACATGTAGTTTCTCGTTCCACTGTCGAGACAGAATATCGTGCATTGGCCTCCACGCCGCACCTGAATTACTCTGGCTTCGCTCTTTCATTGCTTTCTTGGGCATCCCCTGTGTTTATTTTGTGACAATCAAGTTACTCTTTAGATTATTATTAATCATGTGTTTCACGATCGCACAAGGCATATTAAGTAAAATTGCCACGTTTTTTGGGAATGCCTCGTTGATGGTTCATTGATTACATTTCACATTCGGTCACATCTCCAACATGAGTGGCCTAGTAGAAAAGAATTAAATTCATAATATTAGGAAAGGTCTATTTTTTTCACAATCATTGCCATGATTTGGAATGCTTTTGTAATTGTAGTTTTAACTATAGATTACCCTTTTTCCTTATAGTTTCCTTGCATAATTTTTCTTATAAACTGTGATGAAAATCAATACAAAAATAACGATTTTATACGCCATAAAATGTATGAGTGTTTGTTGATCACGATAACGTTAAGCGAAGGGTACGTGTCAAACTCATAGAATATGTTAATTGCTACTCTTTCTCCTTAAGAATTAGATTGTTTTAACCTCAAATTACTATGGCATTCTGTGACATCAATAAAGAATCACCATATTCGAAAAAAGAGAAATACCGCATTATTTTAGTATAAAAACAAGTTGTATCAAAGAGTTTGAAAAAATAGAGGTACAACATTGATCTTATGAAAGTATATTATATTTTGCTTGAAGGGTTTAACACTTTGTGAAGAAATTTAAAAAGTTATCATCATATAAACTTATAAAATTTAGTAATAGTATTTAATGGTCTACAAGGATTATATCAATTAGTACAACAATGAGGTGAAATGGATGTGTATCAGAAGCATTCAATTGTAATCCCCCTTCTCTATATATCAATTAAATTAAAGTTTAAAGTCATACTAATTAAAGTTCATGATTTTGTGTATGGTCATCATGTATGATCCTAGCTATCTATATTTATATGTAATATGTATATCATGGTGTAGTCAATGAGCTCTACAAATGGTACAATTTGTAAGGTCAGCTTCCAATGACTTATAGTATGCCCTCTCTGCATTTTCTATCCTCTCCCTAAACATTTTCCACTCTCTTCGACTCCTCGCTTTCACCTGAAAATATGGCAATTAGTGTTAGAGTTATGAATAACCTTTTTAATTAATGATACAAACTAACTCTAACAAATGGGATTTACATATATCTTATTTGTGATTACTTACCTCTGTCCGTTTAGATTCTCCATTATCTATATTTCCCTGTTGAAAGGAAACGAACGATTGTAAGCAATATATGTAAGTTCATGGATTATACAAATGTTGAGTATTAGGGATGGGCACGGTTTTATTAGAACCAAAACATTAGGTTAATTCTAGTGTTAGTTAAAAACAATTCTAGAATTGAGTCTGGACCATGTCTACCCCTATTGAACGGTCATTTTTATTACCGAAAGCGATGGAATGCCATGATGAACAATTGGTTGAGCATCGACGACTCCAATCTTGTCACTAGCTGGTGGCTACATGGCAACAACAAATGTTTTGACTTTAGTGTGTATAGTATGACTTGAACACAAGAGAATGGTTTGGTATAGTAATGGAATGAATGACTGACCTCAACACACTTTTGAAGTGCAAAATCAAGACCCCAACCATGGACCAAGTCATTCTAGGAATCATGGAAAAAAGTAAAGGTTATTATGTGATATGTAGGACTCTAAGCCCTTTGCTAGGGTCAAGGTAGTGAGAAATAAAGGGGTATATAAATAGAGGGAATGAGAAGACATGAAAAGTAAGGTGGCAAAAAAGTAAGGGTCATATTACAGTCACACCAAGAATGACACCAAAGTTGACATCACTAGTGTCTCAGAGACAATAACTCTTAACCTTAGTCTCAGCCTTGAGGTTAAAATAGCATTTTGATACAGGCACGGGAACATAGTACGAGGGAGGTCTAGGGGCCCGCCTTTTTAGAACATTATACCTGAATCATATGCCACACGCAACGCCATGCATTTCGAGAGAAGACGGGTGCCATGATCTCGACAAACCTAAGATCAGAGTAAACAATGGAATATGTCTATGTAAAGAAGAAACATTATGAAAAAAAAAATGAAGGGAAATGAACCCTATAGGCATATATTCATACGCTGCACACGGAGGTTGATGAAGGTCCCAACACAATCCACGCCTCTCTTTTGTTTCTCTAACCAAACAATTATTGAAACAAAAAAAGAATGTTAATATGCATTGGATTAATTAAGACTTAAGAGTAACTAATTTCATATTAAATCAACCTTTAAACTTCTCCTAATATAATTTATCTAATTTCATATACTTGTATCAAACACTTTCGTCCCACCTTCTTACAGATATCCATAGACACTATCGAGTGAAAATTGGGATGACTTTGACATTTTTATAATGAAGGATTTTGGTGCACAAAAACACCACAAAAAAATCTTACTTGTGAACTTCACTATTGCCTTTCATCTTCCTAGTCATTTTCCATGTTATACCAACACCCTTTTGGGGCTCGAGAGCTGGCTGTGAAATCTCCAATCCTTGTTTCTTCACAAGCTTAATGTACCTGAAACCCAAGGCGCGAAAATAAACACAAAACACGACTTCGAGGAACGAGTCGAAGAACATCCAGAAAGCAGATAAACTATTTCCAAGAGACTCCCGATTCAAACAAAGTAGAAAGAGTAAAAAAAAATTTACTCTTCGGCGTCAAAGTGCTCTACGCCTAGATCTTCATCCCAGATGAATATATATTCATAGGGCGCGACAATGTCGGGATGCAGAAACCTTTTCGCGTACCACCTTGAACAAAATTTTCAAAATGATGCCCATCAAACTATTAAGAATTAGCAATATAAATTCACACAAAGAAGAAAAAAACTACATCTATGGATTATAATAAGTTGTTAATTACCATTTGGTCTGTTTATTAGCAGTGACATGAATGGCATTCTTTGACCACTCGAACTCGTTCCACTCGGACGTTCGACCGTCGTAATGAAACAGTAAAATGGTAAAGTTGTCTGAAAACTGAAAAATAACAAGAATTGTTAGAGAGAAAGAGATAAAAGTTGTGGGTAGTAAAATGAGTTTTTTTTAAAAAAATCACCTTCTTCACTGCCTCATTGATGATCTTCCTCTGGTTATAACCCACTGTAAATGTGACCAAATATTTTGGCTTCTTTGCCAAGTCCTACAGATAAACAAGTAAATAAATACACTTTTGGTAAAAAAAAGTTTAGTCATTTTTTTTGTGACCTGTGATTTTGATTTTGAAAGCATGTATTAAGGCCTTTTTTTTAAGGCCTTATTATATATGTTGGTTTGGATGTTTATGTTTAGTCGATGTGGGATGAAGACCGACCTGGCTAGGGGTTCCCCATAGGCGTCGGAGAAAGAAATCCGATTCGGTAACGACAATTTTAGGAGGCAATCTTTCTGCTCCTCTCGGGTTTGATCGAACCCAAATCTGCTCAATAACAAATCCAGTAAAATCTGGGAGTGACCGTCATGAGTTCCATGATACATCAAAAATTGAATGAATGTAGACAGACACCATGTCTACATACATTCAATTTTTAATATATCAATAAAGTCATAATAGACCGTTAAAAAGAATAGATGGGGTGGGTTAAAAGTTAAAAACTATAAGGAGAGGATTTACCCCATCGGTGAAATTTGTAATATTTTGAGTTTGTGCAGAGGTGTTATTACTGCTCCCTGCTGTTGGAATCACATACTCTCTAGCTGGCAAGATTAGGCTATTAATAACATTCTTCCTAAAAATATTCTGCAAAAAAAAAAAAGAAAGAAAAACTAAATCAGGTAACAACATTAAGAAAATTATCAAAAGATACAATAATTAGGCTGTTAATTAATAAGTCTCTTCCTAAAAAAATTATTCAAAACGCAAACGCTCTTTAGTTACCTTACTGGACGTTAGAGCCGGATACGACACACCGAGGAAGAACCCGAAAGCAACTCCGACGAAGATGCTCAGAATAACTCTCTCCGTTTCGTTCGCCTTTTTACCATTCAAACTACGCAACGAATATAGAACATAAAACATAAACAAAAATATAGAATAAAACAAAAACCCAACTGAACTCCACAAAAAGTGAAGTCCTGGGAGGGCAGATTCTATGTTGTAACCGAGTCAATAGTAAAAAGAAGAAAAAAAAAGAGGTACCAGTAGACTAGGGAGTTCTTCATAGTAGTAGTGAAAAAAAACACATCATTCTTCAAACAAAGTTTTCTTGTTCTGGGCCCGCAAAGTTTCTCTGTTCGGTGTCTGTGAATGTCTGTGAGAACAAATACGGGTTTTTTTAAAACAGGTTTAAGGTTTAGTTTAAGGTTTATATGTATATGTATGGAGAGGGGGAGAAAAGGGGAAAAACGTGAAGAGTGTTTTGGGTTTAGGAAAAAGATCGTGTTGATGGATTATTGAGAGAGAGAGGGAGGCCGGCAAGAAGGGAATTAAAAGAACCTTTTTTTTTTCTTCTTCAATGGAATAAGAAACCTTTTTCACTTATACTTCCCATAAAAATTTTGATAGGATTAGGACTAAATAAAGCAATTTTGGATTTTAAATTTTTTTATATCAAGATGAAATTTTTAGTTTCAAATAGAAGGTCGATAGACTCGATACTCTTATTTAAGAGATAAAATATAGAAAATCTTATTTTAATACTCCCTCCATCTCAAAATTATCGCAAAATTTTAGGTTTTTTTCAATTCAATTTATTTAAAGATTGATATACGAATAAAAAATGAAACTTAAATTTTTAAAAAATACATCAAAAGTTCTACAACATAAGTGGTGACAGGAATATTTTATTTCATCAAATAATCAATGAAAACGCACGAATAATAAGAAATTACGTTGATTTTGGAATAGTGAAGAAGGAAGATAGTTTCGGGACGGATGGAGTATAGCTTCATATTTTAATCTTATTTAGATATCTTTTCTTAAAAAATTAATTTTCCCAAATTTAAGAAATATGTTGAAAAAATAAAGAAGAAATATGACTGGAATTTGTTAAAAAAAGGGAAAAAAATCTTAACCACATACCTTTTTTTGAATGGAAATTAAAGATTTTTTTTTTTAGAAAACTAAAAACAAAAATAAATATATTTTTTTGTGGGCGAAAGGGAGTAATTGCTTTTCCTGTTTTACTTTTTCAATTCTTGGATTTCTTGACACCCCTTTAATTTTACTTTTTGGACTTTTAATTTGGGCAGGAGGTTGGAAAAACTCAGGTGGAGAAGTATTTTTTTATTTATACACTAATTTATAAAATACGAAGTATATATTAAATTTAAATGAAAATAAAAATTTGCATGTTATATGAGTACAATCCATTTAGGCAGAATAGTTTTTTTTTTTTGTAAAAAAATTTAGGTTTAATAAACTTGGTAACTTTGTAACTTATGGCCAAAACCTCCCAAGTGTATGGTGAATTTATAAAATTTTAAAAAGGAAATTAAATTAAACAAATGAATGGTGAATTGATGCCATATTAAAAATATTTTTATGGGTCTGTAATAAAATCGTATTTTATCAAAAATAATACTCCGTAGTATTTGTTATCCCAAAAGAATGTAGTCTTTGATAGGTGTTTAAATATTATTTTTAAATATCAAATTTGAATTTGATGATCTTTCAAATATTTGATGTATGTAAGAATCACTTTCACATATCACTGAAATGTATTAAAATAAAACGAAGTACATCAAAATCAATTGTATGTTGTTGTTTACGGAGTTTAATCGAAATTATTTAAGAAATCACTTAAAATAGAAATAAAACATAAAGATAGTACCAAAATAAGATTATCATATTTATTCTCTAAATATGAATTCGCACTGTGATAATGTGAAACTGTACATGTGTATTTTACTCTATTTTTATGTAATGTACATGTTCATGATTGGTAATATAAATATATTTTAACTCATATTTCAGGAATGAAAATATGTAACTTATATTTTGATATATTTTTAATATTTTACTTCTATTTTAGTCTTTTCATAATGTGTACTAGTATTTTTGTTCAATAGTTCATACTTTGTAGTGCTATGATATCCAATTTCCCAAAATGATAATACTCCATACTTAAGAAGGATTGAAAATACACATGCTGTCCAAACACATGTTAATCCTTTTGAGGGAATATTATCCCACACAAAACAAAAAAGTTTCATTCACTTTCAAGAAAAACTGCCCTTGTGTTTCCATAATACTCAGTTTTAAAGGTTCTTATAAATCTACTAGCATCACTCCCGTGCGTTGCACGGGTCATACTTATATTACTAAATTAAGATCATTTTTGAATGATACAATTTCTTACTCCCTCCGTCCCGAAATATTTGCAACATTTGCTTTTTCAGCGTTGCGAGAACTTTTGTTTATTTCTACGTTTTCATTGGTTATTTGATAAAATAAAATATTCTTGACACCTTTTATTTCGAAGAACTTTTCATGTAGTTTTTTGATATGTAAATTTTATTTTTTATTTCTATACCAATAAGTAAATAAAATGAATTGAAAAAACTTGATATTTTGCATCGGGAATATAAGTGTGCCAAATATTTAGGGACGGAGGGAGTATATAATACTCCCTCTGTCCCTGACACATCTTCCCCTTTCATTTTTTCTTTGTCCCACAAACGCTTTCTTTTTTTATTAAAAAAACTACTTTTATCCCTTATTTTTTCCTATCCTACCTATCACATCATATCTTTTTACTAATAATCTATCTATCACATCTTACATTTATCAATCACATCAAGGGTATTTTTGGAAAGTTAATACTAAAATATCTCTCCCTCAATTTTTACAAAAAGTCAATAAGGGAACTTCTTTCGGGACGGAGGAAGTAGAATATAAAAATTTTATTATTTTCAGGTACAAAAGTTAATTGTTTTACAAATAACGAAAGACTTCTTTATAAACTACATTACTCGTATAATTTTTATATATCAAATTTTTAAAATATTTTTAAATTGAAAGTTTCTTAGATTAGAATTATTAGATGATAATAATGACTAAGTACGGTAATTTTATTACACAGTATATTATTATTATCATTCTTCTTACATGGTAATAAATTAATAATGATTAAATACGGCAATATTATTACACGATATATTAATATTATTATTCTTGTTACACAATAATACATGATCTATTAGTATTACACGATGATTTATTATTTAATTATCATTTATTTATTCAACACTTACTATATGTACCACCATTTCTATGTATTACTTTGACATTTCTTTTAGATTTGATTTTTTTTGAAAAGGTAACAAATGGTTTGTATGATTAAAATGGTTTGTTTCTAAATTGGAAAAGAAACAAATGGTTTGTATGATTAAAATGGTTTGTTTTTTAATTGGAAATTATATAAATTACGAAACTATAAATTTAATGCATTGATTAAAAAATTTACACCTTAACGTGATTATTACCTTTTATGGACAAATATTATTTTTAGTTGAATGGTAATCATTTTTTATTATATCAATTCCAATTTTATAAAAAAGTTTGGTATTAGAAAAGAAGTCTATATAAATAATATTTTTTATTATTTTTATCTTTTTTAAAAATATATTAGGCATGCGAATTTTCTTTAATTAATCATTCTAAATATGAATAGAGTGATTAAGTAATTACTCTTGCTAAATTATTCTAAAAAGCAAACAACGTAGATCTTATTTGCGAAATTAGTCCCTTCCTCTTTTATCAGAATTAAGTAATTATACATGCAAAATATCCTTTAATTTATCATTCTATTATTCTTAAAGGTATTTCCTTTTACGAATAGAGTGATTAAGTATATAATTACATATTTAATTAGGCGTAAATAATTACTTTTTGATAAAATAATCAGGCGTAAAATATTCCAAGAAATCATAATAATAATAGTAATAATTAGGCGTATATAATTGGGAGAAAGACCAAAGTAGGACTAAAACATTGAAGATATACCAAAATATGACTTCTTTGTTTTTATTCCCGAAATAGGACTTACATTACCAAACATGGTCATATACATTACCAAGAAAGTATAGTAATTTGCACATGTACACTACCACAATGCAAAGTCACACTACCACAATGCAAAGTCCTATTCCGGGAAAAAAATATGAAAGTCCTATTTTGATGCTTTTCTCTATGTTTTAGTCCTATTTAGGATGATTTTTATAAATAATTACCTATTTAAAAAGGAAACAAAATATACAAAATCTCCTGCACCGTCCCTTCCTTTTTTTATCACAATCAAGTAATTATGCAAAATTGGTTAGGAAACAAATTACTCCCTTTCTTTTTTATCAGAATAGAGTGATTATGCATGCAAAATTTTCTTTAATTTATCATTCTAAATAGGTAATATTACACAACCAATCATAGCCATAGATCTTGTTTGTTTTTTGATATCAACGGTGCAGGAGATGAGTGCATTGGGCGGGAAAATAATTCCCCTCCTTTTAAGAATAGAGTAATAATGGTGTCTTTATCTTAAAAAGAGTAAAGCATATATGCAAATAAATTGAAATAGATGCCTCTTTCAAATAAATTGCTACTAGAGGATCAAATCATTCAAAAATTCACAAAAAAAAAAAAACTCGTGTCAATACTCCAAAGAAAAATTAAAATTCCCCATAAATAATCCAAAATTATTTATTTATCACACCAATCCAAAAATTTGTCATTGAAAGATTTTTATTTTACAAGGATACTCATTTTCCACTAGTATCATTGATCAACTTATTGTAAAAATACTACGCGAGTTATTGTACAAACACATAAATTCAGGGAATACTGGGAATAATTTTATAATTTTGGATTATTAGTGTAAAATCCCAAATTTCTTGAAATATTAGCATGAATTTTTCTCCAACAAAAAACAAATGGTGCAAAGAATCGACAGAATTGCAAGCGTAGTGTGGGTGCAGTTTAGGGGTTGTGGGGTCCAAGAAATGCCCCGACCCAATTTTGCACCCACACATAAATGTTCATTACAATAGTCTTTGGAACAAAGCAAAACAGATGTTTTCCTGCCTATAACTGATAAAAGAGAAAAAAAAAGCAGAGAAATGCAAATTTTGCACAAAAGTGTCAAGATGCATCACAAACTAATGTACTTAGTGCTAATACCCAAACAATTCTAGCCCCAATTCTCACAGCAAAACTTAAGGTGCAATTAAATAAAAGTTGACAAAAAAAATTATTTTCTTCCAATAATCAGTCAGAACAGAGGATCCACAGTAGTTGGAGTTTACCACCTGTCATCTGATCTTGATGACCTGCCAAAAAAAATATGGATGGATATTATTTGAATTCAGTTGTGTATATAACAAAAGATGAAGCTTTTTTGCACTTAAGATGTTAAAAAAAGATGAAACATTGTTGTGTTTTGAACTCTAGTAAATTCCACAATTGGACCTTTATAACGGGAGGGTTTCTATATTTAGACTTCTATTATGAAATATTACACTTGTAGTTTTTTTATGAGTATTTTTCCACAAATAGTCATTTTTCTTTTCTTATGTCATGTTAGTGTTAATTTGAGGGCTAAAAGTATAATTTCACAATGATCATATATCTTTCTTGTCATATACAATTCTAGAGGCCGCTCTTGATGCGTCATTTGTGACTCGCAATCGCTATTTACTACAACCGTAGCCTACTAATGTAGTCTTTTGTCGGAATCCTAGTTCACGGTCATAATGATTATTGTTGTGTTGTTACACTTTTAGCCTTCAAATTAACACCACCAACATGACAGCAAAAAAAGACTATTTGTAGAAAGGTACCCATAAAGAAAAGACCACGGGGTAATATTTGATAATAAAGGATTAAATATGAAAAACCCCGGTTATAAAGGACTAATTACGGAATTTACTCGTTCTGTAAAAAACCATCAATCCTTCCTTCCACAAGAGCACATAGTGAATTTGTCTCATGTTCAAAAGAATGTTCACAAGGCTCAGCAAGTTATCCTCATCCATCCTCTATATACCCACACAATGCTCATCAGAATAAACAAAGAGGAAATGCATTGAAAGTTGAAACAAGAAAGATCTTCTCTGTTTACGCCGTATAAAAGAACCCACATGTTCATATGTGTGCGAGAGAGAGAGAGAGAGATTACCTGTCCATGTTTCGGTTACCAAAAAATCTTCCATCTCTACCACCACCTTGAGCAAATCGCCTGTCATCACTTGGCCGAGCAGCACCCTGAAAAGATCTTATGTCCTCTGTTGGTCTACCACCTTGGGAAGCTCGCCGGTCATCACCTGGCCAACCACCGCCTTGCTGCACGGCTCTTCTTCTGTCATCAACTCTGCCATGCCAAGCATCTCCTCCTCCCCTACCACGTGATCTTGGCCTACTATCCATGAACTCCCCACTTCTATGTTCATCAACAGATCCCGGCCGAGAAGGGGGTCTCTCATGAACTCTGCCAGATGATGATGATGATCCTGGCCTCTCACTGGCTTTCTCCCCAAAACGAGCTTTGTCATCCAAGTCAATGGTCAGCACTTCCAATTCCTTTTCTTTTTTGCTTAACAGATCATGGATGTGCCCTTCGCCGGGATTTTGACGTGCTTCTTCTTTAAGCAGTTCTATTTCTTTTTTCAGATTTTTCTCCTCATCTGTTTCAAGCCTGAAAAATTTTCATCTCATTGGTCAGAAATTTTATCAACGGCTTTTCACTACATTAATTACTTTGAATTAGTAGGTACGAGGAAAATGTCAGAACCTATTCACACACATGCACAATTTCACATTCATACTCTGTATTTCATACAAGAAGAAAATGGCAGCTCACAAGACGGGCAGTAAGCCTACAGCCAAGTTGTCAAGATTGTGATCGGGATCCTAAGATTTAGGATTTGAATTTGAGAATGATCATTAGGATCATGAGATCACAATAGGATAGTTTAGAAAGAAAGTATGCATGTAAATTATTTACTAAATGGAGAAACTTTTGAAATATTACCTCATTGAGTTATTAAATGGAGTGATTGTAAATTAAGTGCATTAGATATGGTCTTGGTTTTAGGAAATGACACCTATTGTAAAGAAAAAAATATCCTCCAAAATGACACTTATTGTGTTAACCTGAAGGGTATATTAGTGTGTGATAATAAGCCTAATGATAAGTGATATTTATGATGTAGATGTAATATTCTCCAATAGCTTTTTAGTTTAGTTTATAGTATAGTTTTGAGAGAACTTTAATTAGCTCAAATACAGAGTACAATCTGCAACAGCTTTAAACTTCGTTCCAAAAATAAAACTTATTTGTAAATAAAAACACCATCAAGGTTTTTTTATATGCAAGATTCAAACGTAAGTGTATTCCTTCTCTATTATATCAATCACGTTCTATGTCCGCATTATACAGAAATGAGATCAACCAAGATAGGATGCATGGAGGTTTATTAGTCATGATTCATGAAATAGGGGTAGAAAATATACATAAACAGTTAAATACTACCTGCATCGCAAAATGTTCCTTTTTAGGATGTCTCAAAATAAAATTTACACTTCCTTACTTTCATATTAAGGACATGAATATGCGGCTAACAATATTTTCCCTTCGTCTAAACAAATTTTAACTCCACGCTTCTTTCCAGCATTTGTCTTAAACTCCGTGAAGTCAGAATGTAAACTTCATTTTGGGACTGAGGGAATATGCACTACTGACATTCCAAAGACAATGCATACAAGAGTTAAGAAATTTATTCTATGTTTAGGTTCATATATGCATTGAATATAATACTACAATAGTACAAGTATACGACATGTCCGCTATGTTTGTTTCTTTTACCATTTTGTTCGGCCCACTATATTTATCTCATTATATATTTGTCGTATTCATGGGGTGCGAAATCATTCTTGCTTTATCAATACTTTGCATATGCAATATCAACCAAAAAATTCCATTTTTTTCTTAACGTTTTTGTCACTTCCTCATATCTCAAAGGTAGTGGGTCAAAGGGGCAAATTTTAATCTTACCCCGCCAACCTTGTCAAATACTTCATAGAGAAACGGATAGCTTTCCATCACGTACATACACGTAAATGATCAGCTTTACGATTCAGAGATTCAGGTATAACTAAAAAAATAAGCGGTAACTACGAATATGACTATAAAGACCTACAACATAATAAATGAATTTATGAGAGCCAGAGTTTCCAATTTTTATTTGTATTGGATAACTCCATAGCACATACTCTCACGCGCTCCTATAACATTGGCTGGAAAATGACCGTCTCTAAAGACAAGATTGCACTAGAAAAAATAGTATGCACAAAAAAGAAAAACTAATGAGCATAGAGCTAAGTGTACCCTATATTTTTGTGGTATTCCGGGTTATTTTAACAAAGGATAACTAACTTAACTATGCTGCAGCTGAATCTGTTGATAATGATGATACCAAAAGGACATGTATTTTTGGAAATGAATCAAAGAGACAACTTTACTTATTTTCATTCATTATGTTGCACGGATTCTTGACAAGTGCTACGTTCCATCCCCGAACTTGAGGGCGTCTTGAGACCCAAATTCTTTGTAAAAACTCAAAATATTTTGAGCACGTTTCAAAATATTTTTCACGCCTTCATGCAACTTAGTTCTTTATTATTTTCTTTATTACCCCTCAACTCATTGATGAAATAAATTGTGATTCCTTTCTAAAAAATCAGCATGTTCTGCCAATTTCAGAAACTTCACAGGCTGGGAAATAATTTGGACAATCAAAACAATGCAAACCTGTTAACGCGTCCATGCTCCAACTCCAAGTCGATCTTCCTCCAATCAAGACCCTTTTCTTCTAGCAAAACCTCTCTGGGCTTGGCATTTCCAAAGGGATTTACTTTGACCTTCGGCTTCACTTCCCCTTCAACCACACCCGGCAGTACCCGCCCATCAGAACGGGCAGACTCGGAGCTCTGAGGCCTGCTTGACTGTGAGCTTGTTGGGCGGCTGGTGCTCTTCTTTGCCTCTATCTCAATATCCAATTTTTTCCAGTCCAGACCTTTCTCTGCCAGCACCTCCTCCCTCGGCCTTGCCGCCCCAAAGGGATTGGGTCTGTTCGCCTTCACTGGAACCTCAGTTCCCTGCTCACTCTTAGGGGAATCCAAAACCAATCTCTGACTTGCACCCCTTGTCCAGCGATCAGTTTCAGACCTTGAGTCTCTGAATTCGGAACCGAAGGTGGAAGATCTGGTGGGAGGAGGAGGAGGAGCAATGTGCCTCTTGGAAGCGGCCCAATTATCATCGCCGTCAGCTCTAGACGCGCCACCGCCGGCACCTAGCATGGCATACCTGGAATGAGCGGCGGAAGCGGGAGTGGGATTAGAGTCGTACGACGGAAAGGGTTTCTTAGCCGAAGCCCAATTGTCGACCTCGTCAGCTCGAGAGGGCTGATCGAAATCCGAAGCCCTAGATGGCGGAGGACCTCTCCGATCATCATCGAAACCTCCATAAGGCCTCCGATTGTTAGCCCAGGAACCTTCCCCGTCGCCGTCACGATCCCGGCCCCTCCCCGATTGCTGGCCAGCGAACCTGCTGCCGTAGTTCGAGAACCCTCCACCGAGCCGACCGGATTGCATTTCCTCCGCCGACCGCTCTCTGGGACCCGTCGGAAGATACATCATCTCGTCCGGCGTCAACCTGGAACCGGCCCCTGAAGCGCGATACGGCTCCTGCACAAGCGTGGTGGAGAACTCCTGCCACGACATCTTCGCAGGAGCTTTCTTCTTCGGCTTCGCGGTGGCAGCCTCCCTGAGACTCGGGAAGTTCTGAGAATCCCCGCCGGCAGCCGCCGCCGCCGCAGCGGCGGCGGCCTCTTCCCGCTCCGCGGCTTCAGATTCAGCAGCCCATGAGTTAATGTTTCCCCACGGAGACTTGGACATTGTCGGAAAGAAAAACAAAAAAAGATCTGAGAGATCAAAGGAATTTCTTCTTCTGATGCATATATCGATCGATCAGAAAGAAAGATGAGACGATGGTGGAATTGATTCTCCGAGGAGGAGAGTATATTATAGAGACAGGTTTTGTGTAAGTATAGGCGGGTCGGGTCGGGGCTCCGGGAGAGAGAAAACGGTTTGGTGGGCCGAGAGCGTTATATATCGTGTGAACGGCGCGGGGGCGGTTGATGCGCTGTTTTAATAGGATGATTGAAAAAAAATGAGTAAATTCTATAATTGGTCCTTTATAACAGGAGGATTTTCATATTTAGTTCTCTATTATCAAATATTACTCACATAGTCCTTTTTTTAAGGGTATCTTTCCATAAATGGTCCTTTTTTTGATCTTCTGCCGTTTTGGTGTTAATTTAAAGGCTAAAAGTATAACTTGACGTCAACATTATGTCTAGTGACGTGTTCTGATATTGGTTAAGCGGATAACACAAAAATAATGACTATGATTGTGGGCTAGGATTCTGACGAAAGATCACATTTGTAGACTATAGTTGTCGTAAAAAGCGACTGTAATTCACAAACGATGAAAACGGGACAGCCTTTGAAATTGTGTATGACAAAAAAGATATATTATCATTGTGAAATTACACTTTTAGCCCTCAAATTAACACCAACATGATAGAAGATCAAAAAAAGGACTATTTGTGGAAAGGTACCCATAAAAGAAGGACCACTTGGGTAATATTTGATAATAGAGGACTAAATAGGGAAATCCCCTGTTATAAAGGACCAATTATAGAATTTACTCAAAAAAAATTGGAAGTTTTGGAACCGTCTGTTGATGTTATCAAAAAAGTATTATACAAAACACTATGAAAAGATTATGGACCAAACATAATGAAGGCAAGCAATAAAACTTACTTTATATTTTACAAAACTTATTAAAAATAATAACAAAATACTTTCTTTGTTCCAAATTAAATTGTATGTTACTATTCACATAGTTAAATTTAATAAATTTTCTTTTCTTGTTTTCGTTAGTCATTTGATTAAATAATATAATCATGTCACTACTAGTTTTGTAGATCTTTTGATGTAGTTTCTAAATATGTAATTTTTGTTTTTTAATTCTACATCATTTTTCATATAAAATGATTTAAAAATAATTTCAGTCAAACATTGTAAACCGAAACATGCGATTAAAATTGAGACGAAGAGAGTAGCATTTTGAATGCTCGTTAATATTTTTGTATTCATCTACAAAAAACCAAAGCTCAAATCAAATTTTTAAAGTAAATGTATTATTTAATGAAAAATTATAATTTTGGTAATATATTAGTATTAATGTTTGGTTCAAGATTTTTGGTATGAGAAGTTACCTTGTATCATTCTCAACTATCATACCGGCCGTTCGTTTCGATACAATTCAACTCTTTGCTGTATTTTTTCGTTTCAATATTTTTCAGTTTGATATTCTCAAACTTTTTGAAAAATTATGGGATAGGTTCAGTATTTGGTATCCCTAATAAAAAGTTATGAACTTATGGGCAACACTATTATAAAAATGCACCAAATTTATATTAATACTAATGAATTGAAAATACTTCATTTGTCCCCGAATTGATTCTAATGCTTACTATTCTAAAGATTTCGAATAACAAAAAGGAGAACTTATCTCAACTAATCTAAGCCATTCGTGCACTTCCAAAAATATTTTAATAAAACGTGAAAAGGTGAAATTATTTTAGATGATTTTTCATAAGAGAAAAAAGTTATCCACATACTATTTAATATCTTAAAGGAAAAAGGAAGAAATGTAAAATTTGAAAAGATTGATTCAGAGAGGATGCAACATTTTATTTATCAAATAAATTTGAAGCTACATGAATAAAATGCGTGTACCCTAATGGTTATTTATACTCTCTTCCCCTCCAAATAAAATTGAAGCACATTTACAATATGATATTGAATTAAAGTAGTTTTTGAAGTATTTTTAGTAAAATAGTGCAATAAAATTAAACAATGAAATTTATACATTTAAAAATAAAATTAAAAGTTCTACATATATAAAAGTAGATGATCGAATTTTATTCACTTTGCTTACCTATTTTTTAATCATTTAACATAAAAATATAGTCATGTCACTTCTTGTTTCATAGAACGTTTAGTGCAATTTTAAATTCTTTACTTATAAATTTTATTCTTTAATTTCATCTCAGTGTGATCGTACCAGTGACTAATCAAGCACTTGGAGCTGCTTGGATCACATCTAGGCAAAACGAAACAAGTCGATGGGCAATGACACAAAATGCATGTCAAGGTGCACCATGAAATTATGGTGTCCCTTATTCGGGGCAGGTCACTTGCTTACACTTATAAAAGTGACCTCATCTTCGGCCAAACTTTTGAGGAATTCCTCCCCCTTGTTCTCTTACACTATGTTTGATTTAAAGAATTAAACAGAAAAAAAAATCTCTCATTTCACTCCTCAAAATGAAAGAATAATGTGTCCTCTCTTTTTAGTTTATTATAGCTTATCATTTTCTTTTCCTTCTACTAGGTTGTTGTAGTCCTCGTTCAAATTATTTGAACTAAACATAGTCTTATGGTCGAGCGAGCGACTATGTAATGAATATAACGATTTATTTCAAATGTGTTGAACATACACTCATTTCGTTTAAGCTAGTTGAGATCACATGAAAGATTAGCAAAGGGTAAGAATTCTACATATAGAAGAGGAATTTCAAATTAGGTTATGATAATATAATAAACACTAATGAAGAAACACCATACACCAACTGTTTAGCAGAGTTGCAATATACACACTATCTTGGAACAATTGAAAAATAATCTAATCCCCAACATACAAAACTGCAATTCCCCATGGAAGAGAATCACAATATAAGCTATAATGCTACACAATCGCCGATCACCTAAGCAAAATGTTCTCCGGAAATAAAAAAGTCCGTTTTTCTACCCCACCGGAGAGAGTTAGAGATTCACCTTCACGGATGAACGCAGGGTGGTCACGCTCTACACATGCAAGGAGTAAGAGGATTCTCCCAGATGTCATAGTTCGGGAATGTTTCTTCGGGCAACCCGGTTCTGGTTTGGTGGGTAATGACAACGTCGTCCTTAAAGCTAGCCCATCCCATGTAAGGATCTCCCAAGGATTTGGACATGAGACCCTTGTCTGGTTTTATGGATTTTTGGCGGTGCCCCATGTAGCGTCTGTACCCGATTATAAGTTTCGCAAAGTTCCCTCCGTGCGTCATTACAAAAACATCAGATTTCAAACAAACAAGAAAGTCAAGAGCTGCCAGACTCGTTACATGCTTCCGGAATTCGTCCAATTCCTCCTTCCTAGCCAATTCCTCTTTTGTAACCTGTTACAGACAATAAACAATAGTTGTTTGAGCTGAGAGCCTCTTGGAAACCTGCTCTACTTCATAGTAGGGCTACTTTTGTGGGATTTTACTGGGTTTGTTGTTATTGTTGTATTTGAATCATCCCGGGGAAACATCATATGTATGTCACTCATAGTTGCGAAGTGGTGTGAACAAACTTTGTGGACTTATGTTGCGAACCGAAGAAATGACTTACAAGATTAGGGAACATGTTCCTAAGTGGTGCCATCCGGTTCTGACCACCATAGACCTGCCCGGAAGCAACATATATTTGGGTTTCTTTAGGATAGCCCATTGCCCTAAGCAACACTGCCACTTCAGCAGGCTCAAGAGGGCACCGTCCTTCCTTCCGTTTCTGCAGGGCCAATGCCCACAAATGTGAACCGTCCTGTTGGTTTAACAACAACAATGAGGAGTAGCCCATCAGGATTAATATATTTCTTATCAACTTGGATTCAAGGAAAAGTGTGATAATAGTCTTTGTAACCTTGAACCGGCGTGGCCATTCTTTCTTTCTGTATGCAGCCATTAGTGCCTTTTCTGACCTCGTCCCCACAAAATCACAGAAAGATAAGCCCACCATCCCCTTCTCAAACCTTAAGTGAAGTGCCCTGTTTAAGGCACAACTTTTAATTCTCCTTTTTTGAATACAAAGAATAAAAGAGATCGTTATAATATGAATTATTTAAGAATGCCTTCTCTCAGAATGTAGCTTACATGAAGGGGTTCGGACTGCCAGTCCGGTTTCTCATCCTTGAGACTAGTAGATCTGCCATTTGGTCAATCTCGGGAAGAAATTTCAAAGCATGGTAGTTCACCCTGCACCTCAACCTGTTTATCTCAGATGGAACATTATCATACCTGAACAACATAGAATGAACATTCAGATTGTACTTACCCATGGACAGAGATTAGGCTATTAATAGAAATGTCATATATTTGTAGCACTTACCCAAGTCGATCAACGAATGGTTTCAACGCCATAATCTTCTTCTCCTTGATTCTTGGCAAAACGTTATCTATATAAAACTCAGCTGAAGCATATTTTGGGATGTTCTTGACAGTTCGTCTGGAATGTAATTTTAGAAAATCATTTTCCAAATAGCAGTGTGAAGCACTCTGATGGACTTGTGGTAACAAGCATACCACTTAAGTCAGAACCATTAATCTAGAGCTGTAGCTGAAAGTGTGCTTTCTTTGGTAATACTCCCTCCGTCCCATATAAATGTTCCATATTTTCTTTTTTGGTTGTCTCAAAAATAGGTTCCTCTTTCTTTTTGAGGAAGGAATTGTGTGGTTCACACAATTTCTCTCTCCTATGCATAAAACTCAACCACAAATTTTCATCTTTCATACACTATGTTTGCTTCAAGGACTTTGAAATTCAAAACAAAAGAAAATGAGATGGAAACAGTTTTTCATAAGAAAGAAAAATGAGAAGGAAAGGAAAATGAGAAGGCAAAATATACTCAGGAGAGAAAACCAAATTCCTCCCATTTTGGTGAGGAAGATGAGAGAATACCATTTTCTTTTCTTTTCCTTCTAAATTCCTTGAACCAAACATAGTGTTAATAACCGTGTCTGGTCAATTGTAGAACCTTATTGCACGACGGAGGGAGCATACGAATTGGACATGAGATCATAATAATATGAAGAATCTTTTCATTCATTGCCCCAACCCCAAAGAACCCCCCCTCCATTTAGGAAAAACTTAAAGCTTATATCCTGAAAGGGATACATTCAAAGGAGGATTTGCAAGAACTTGAAAGAGATAAACACCAAGTTAGATATGTCAGCTCAATATTGCCAACAATCCAAGAATGTCTTAACATGTAGGATAACAAAGGCCAGCAACAAACCTAATGCTTGTGAACAGCTCCGATTTGTCAGTAAACCATTCAGGTATATCACGAACAATTCGCACATCATACTTCAAATAGTCAATAAAATGATCAACATCAAATATGTCTTCAAATTTTCTGCAAACAATATCAAAGTCAACAGCCATCAGGAGGATTAATCATCAACAAATTACAGACCGAAGTGCTAAATCTTCTGCAAGCAATCGAACTATAGTTTTGAACCCATCAGCCATAATCCCAGTGTAGTTGTGACTTGTGGCCCATTGATTCAACTACGAATTACATTGGTTTAATAGAGTGCTGGACCTTGTCTAAGCCATCAAGCTAGATTTTTTAATTATTAAATCAAGCTAGATTATTCATTTTAATAACCATTGTTAAAGCTTCAGTTTTACTTATTCCTCTTCAGCCTCACGTCTAACCACTACAATGACATCACTCCTTATAATAGGTGCATCCATATGCCTAAGTTGAGCACTTTTGCTGCATTTTAACATTTATATTTCCAATTTATTCTCCACTGACAACAACTGTGCCATATTTTGATTAAAACAATTTCTATTATGGTTCTTTGTTTATTCCCACTGCTACAACTACCACATTTGGATTTTTCATTTCATACTTGACACTCAGTGGCTCAGTGCTGCAACAAAGTACAGAGTAGTATCATCCGAATAGATGTTCCACGTGAACTTGCTTCAATTTTTACTGCAGCGTTAAGATCACATAATATTTCAACTTTACTGCATTATTTCACCCAAGCCTTAATGTTATGGTTTATATAGTCATCCAGTTTTGCTTCTTCACGAAAAAACAGGATCAAACAAACAGGGTTGGAAAGTAAAGAAAAATAAGAATGCAATGTGTACTATTTCGTTAATAGTGGCAAAAGTGACAACCTTTTATGCAAATAAATCACTCAAACAAGAAAGTGTATACATTGCATTGTCAAGTGCCACTCACGTTTGATCTTTCCATATCTGATCTTGTTTTAACACCGGTAATATAAGAGTCGCATTCATTATTTTGGCCACTGCAACAGCATTGCAGATCTATAATCAACAACATGGCAGGTTAGAGGATACAGTCAAAACAACAAAAAGTAAAAACTATTTACAATTATGAATGGAATTGTAAGACAATAAATAATTATAAGCAAAAACATACAGCAATTCTTTGCTGGTTTAGACCACCTTCTGCATGAATAAATATGTATCCATTTGTTTTATTCTCTGCTGTAAGATCTGCAAACCATTAGGAATTATTACTCCCTCAGTCACGCACACAAAAAATGTTTCAAACTTTGTCTCAAAAAAGAATCACAAATGAAGCTAATTTTTCAAGTGCTTTGACAAAAAAGGGTCTCATAGAGAAGCTACATTCCATAAATTTAGTTAAACCAACATATACAAAGTTAAAAAGTACAAGTAGGCTCAATGATGTACATAGTCAACCAGGATTTTTTGATATGCAAATAGTATGGTTCAGAACAGCAACGGCACCTGAAATTATACCCTCTCGCCTTTCAGCACAAGCCTTCCAAGAGGTCGTGGCGGAGTAAGGATTCTCCCAGAGTGAAGGAGGCTCCTTAACCTAACAGCACTGGAGATTGTAAATATGGGATCACAAGAAGTACAACAAAACATAGATGAATGGGACGGCAATGGAAAAGATGATCTACAAAGAAGTTACCCGTGGGCATTGAAGAGTTATGCCTTCCTTGCTGCACAAATATGGTGCAGTCTACAAACAAAAGACAAAAGCATGGTCATGCTACGACCAAATATTTGCTTTTAGAATTACTAGAAACTGTGAAGAAAACAATAAATAAGCCCTAGCAAGTAACAACTGTAATCTGTTTCACCAAAGTTTATTATCAAGAATCTGTATCATATCCATGATAATTTAACGGAAAATATTCTTAGCGAAGCCCAACCATATGTGGTAATAAAATCAAGGGTACTTCAGAGTACATGTGGTATATAATACTAGGCACTTAAGATGGTCTCCAACAATCCTGTATCAAATGAAGTTAGATTTCAAAAGTTAAATGATGAGGTAAACTATACCACAACTCCAGAAGATGAAAGTTAATACCATTGTCACATTCACATAGCCTTTTTAAATTTTATTATTTAATTAATACGAATGATTTCTGCTTAAAGAAAAGTATAATTCTGCATTGTGCACAAAAAAAGGGTTGTGCCCAAACTCCCAAAGTTCAACTCAGTTGAGCCTCAGTAGGACAGTGGTTATAATTCAATAAACCCTTGTGATTGGAGCTCGTGACAGATCATACGTTTTTCTTAACAGTCTTATCCAAAGCAACCTAATATGTTACTTTTACCTCCCCCCCCCTCCTAATTAATCCTCAATAACTCAAATCAGCTGTGGGTTAAAACACTAACCGGTGAGAATATAAGAAAAAAGACACCAACACATCACTGTAAATATCCTAAAATTCATAGTCTGTGCTCGAGGATTCATGACACCTCAATTTTAAATGTCATTTTCAAAATTAAGAAACACCTAGGATTTAAACAAAACAATTTGAAAAAGCCACTCTTCAAAAAGGCACGAAATTTCCATCACATCACATACAATTGATAAAAGCACATCAATGATTGCATTTAAGGTGCAATTAAAGAGTAGCATCTGAAAACTGAATAATGCTATCATTATAATCTCACAGTGACCCCTGAGTAGTCCATAGTCCACAATGACTTAAAAGTACCAATCATATGACTTCAGATGCTTTAAAATCTCAGTACCTAATGGCTTATCAATCAAGTAAGGTATGTGCATAGAGAGGATAGCTTACCAATCTGTTAAATACTGAAAATGCCGAGATCGTTACAGCGGCTAAGATTGCTAGGGCGAGAAGAAACAAGATCTTGGAGTTCTGGAGGAGAGGCCTGTCTGCAAGCGAGAAGGGGAACACCGACTGCAGATTGGCGGACAACAGGGAAGGAATGCGATCTCGCGAGTGACGGCCGCGGTAGTCGTCGTCGTCGTCTTCCTCGTCAACTGGGGAATTCCCCGGCGACAAGGGAGACAGCCCGACGTCGTCCCGCTTCATCGGAGACTGCGACGCTCTGCTGCAGGTGGAGGTGGAGTGGCGGAGCTCCGCCGTCACCCGCTTCGGACTGAAAGCCAGCTTGAGTCCCTTCGGAATGCTCCTCCTTACAACTTGTTGGCCTTCTCCCTTCACTGGGCGATGGCCATGGGACTGGACTTTCAGATCGAGAGAGAGAGTTCAACTCGGAGCTCCCATTCGTTCAGCTTTTATATATTTTCCCATAAATGAATTTGAGGGGTCTTATTAATCCTGGTTTTGCCCGAGTTGTATTTGGTAAATTACTAAAAATTAAGATGTCATCATTATATACCTACGAGTATTTTATAACAAATGAAATTATGAAAAAGTCTTTTGAGATGGACATCTATAATGACCATGTTTAGTATCATCGTTAGAAGTTAGCGTTAGCGTTTTGAAAAGACTGTCTGATGGTAGTTTTTAGTGTTTTCACGATTAAACTGTATTACTAAATTTTTATCTAAAATACTAATGCTAATCGAAAACGTTGTTCTCAAACAAGGCCAATGTGAGTTCGTGTTGAGATTGATAACGTGCAAGATAACATTTTTAGTTAGTCATCTCTTTCCAGACCTTGATCATGTTGCAAATTCATATGCACTTTGCTCAATTTTTTCAATCATTTTATAATACTTTCCTTTTTAACTTGTTGGTGGTTAGATTTCTCTAGAGGTGGCAATCGGATCAACCGGATCGGTTTCGGGTTGGATTTTTTTGGTTCGGATATCTTTCGGTTATATGTTATAATCGGTTCAGTTCGGTTCGGATCGGTTAAATTTCGGTTCGGATTAGATTTCGGTTCTATACATTTTTCGGTTCGGTTCGGTTTCGAGTCGGTTTAGATACGGTTCGGTTATAAATCGGTTCGGATAGATTTCGGTTCGGATACAATTTGAGTCGGATATATTTTGGTTTCGGGTCTAGTTCGGTTCGGATATATTTCGGTTTCGGATCAAATATATTTTGGATATATATTATTTTCTAATCTTCCCTTTTGACATTTTAGTCATATTTTACAAATTTGGACTACAAATTATGAAAACATATATATTTAATTATGATATAAATTTAATATAATTAAATTGATTTTAAAATTTAGTTTTGAAATATAAAAATTTTCTCACATCTACTAATATACTTATGTATATAAATGAAACGATAAAAGATAAATTCAAATAGTCTTATGTTCCATTTGAATAGAATTTGGTAAAAATTGAGTGAAATTGGGTGAAATTAAGTAAATTTTATTCAATTGAGTGCAAAATTTGTAAATTGTTGAGTATATTTGGTTGAAAATAGAGAAAATTAAATTTAATAGAGTCAAATATAATTAATTTTACATCTAAATGTAATGGTGTAGATCAAATTTGAAAATGAAAACAGTAAAGGCTGCCGCTAGAGAGTCTTTTCAAAATGTTAACACTAGCATTTAATTTTATTGACTAATATTGAGTGAATTGGTTTGAAACTAATCAAATTAACTCTCAAATCAATAAAATTTATTGCAATGAGATGAAATTAGGATAAAATCTAATTATTCCATACAATTTATCATATATATATTCCTTTCGTCCCAAAAAGAATATCACACTTCACTATTTAAAAATTACGGAAATTTTATTTGTTTGTACGTTATCATTTATATATATAACTTATCTTTAATTTCTACATATAATAAATTTAAGGCATAAAAATTCGTACTTTTTTTCAAGTAGATAATCCATTTTATGAGGGGAGGAGCAAGTAATGTAACTAGTTCAAATGGTAAAATAAAAGTAAAAATTTAAAAATATAATATGCTTATTGAAAGGTAAACATAGTTCTGAATTTATCGATTTTAGTTCTAACCGAGTTCGAATATTATCGGTTTCGGATTTTATCGGTTTCGGGTATTATCGGGTCCGGATCTAATCGGTTTCGGGTTTAATCGATTCGGATATTATCGTTTTCGGATCTAATCGGTTTCGGATTTAAATCGGATATGAATTATTTAGTTCGGTTTCGGTTCAGTTCGGATCATTTCAGGTTTTCGGTTATAGATCGGATCTTCATTTTTCGGATCATTCCAGTTTCGGTTTCGGATATTTCGGTTCGGGTAATCGGTTCCGGTTCTGTTTTGCCAGGTCTGGATTTCTCCATCAAAGTTGAATTTAGACAACGTTATTAGTGTTGTAGGGTTTCAACGTTATTAGTGTTGTAGGTTTATTTTGAATTTCAGATGAATGGTCACAACCCTTAAGTTATCTGTAATGTTTCGCTATCGCTCACTCCAAATCAACAACTACTCAATGTCACATCAGCACGGATCACTATCTAACTCACTTCACACATGTAATAATGTCTTACCACCACTGCATTGATTATGCTTTTTTATAAATAATTATCTATTTCTATTCAAATTAAATTGTAACTTTTAGAAACTAATAATATTAATTTTTTCGTAATTAATTTTTTTGTAATTAATTTTATAAATTATGTTTTGTAATTAAATTTTTTTCGTTATTAATTCCTTTCGTTTTAACTTTTTTTTCCTTTTTTATATTATAACAAATTTTTGCACAAAAAAAGACAATTAATTGAATAAAAGATAAGCATACGCATGTATTGCATAAATTAAGAAAGAAAATACATGAAAGGAAAACATGAAAAAAATTTGGGAAATATAAAAAGTCTAGGCTTGATCACGATCACGTTTGGCCGCATATTCTTTTCTTATTGCGTCTTTCCTCATCTCGATCAATGCAAGATCACGTTCGTCTGTACTGTCATACTTTGTGTCTGAGAATGCCATGTCGGTCACCATTTGATAATTTCTTTTTATTTCGATGGAGGCCTCTCTGATCTTCAAAAAGTCGATCATTCGAGAGGATAAAGATTGCAACTCTTCATTGTAATCGTTTAGACGATCGAAAGGGTGTCGTTTCTTGCCATCGCATCGACTAATGCATAATCTTCCACGCCTCGATTTACCAAAAGTGTGGCCCTCGATGCGCTTGTACTCTTGATGTGCAACGTTGATGATATTCAGTTCACCCCACCCACTTTTTTGTTTGTGTGATAGGTGAAGTATCCGACGAACTTCCTGACTTTTTTCTTCAAATCGCGCCACTTACTCGTCAACATGTCTATCGTACGATAGTTCTCTCTCCCCAGTTTCAGATGAAATTGTTTTTGGACGCGATCCCAAAAAACTGCTCAATTTTTTTGTTGTTGGCAACAATTTTTTTTTTAAAAAATTGTGTTAGTCGAAAAAAAAATTTAAAAATAAAACTTGTATCAAAAGAATATTTACCAACTAGCTATCAACACACTCTCCTCCTCATTCGACCAAACAAAACTTGTTCTTTTCATTGGCACCGGCTCTGGGGGGTTTGGAAATAGAGGCTTTTTTCTTTGAACCTTTCTCTTTTTCCCATGCTCTGCCTCGGGCTGATTAACTTGGTCATGTAGAGATTGCGTCTCTGGCATGTAATGAGGTTGAGTCTCCAGGATGAAGTTCGGAAACACTAAACCTTGAGAGCCACCCGAGAAGAAGTTCGAAGATGGTGTCCAATATTTGAATCCGTCGGAAGTTGGACGATAACTATTATTGTACATATTTCCAGATTGTTTGGGTTGAAGGAAAGACAGTTATTGGGATTATAAAAATATGGAAAATTGAGATTGTTTGGATTCATGGTGTGAGTAAAAAAAATTTATATTTGAAATTGGTTGGAATTAGGTTGTTTAGATATAAGAGAGAGAGAGAGAATTAGTAGGATTGAAATTTGGAAAAAAAATTTGGGTTAACATGACCGTTGAAAAGAAGGAAATAAAAAAGAAAGATAAACGGTTGGATGGGCAGTGGAGCACCGCAGACGTGACCACTGATGCTCTCACGTGTCGTGGCCACGAGGGGAGGGGGTGGTGTTCGCGTTAGGGAGGGCAGGACGTGACATAGCCACGGCGGATCACGCGTGTGGGGAGGGGCATAATGGACGGCCTTACAAGAGACATGTTCCAATCCTAAATGACATAACTCTTATAGATTTATTTTGAATTCAAATTAGAAATTTTTACATGAATAAATCAACATGATCTAAGAAAAGAGACACGACCGTTCTTAAAAGTCATATGTTTTTCTATATAAAGGACACTTGTCACAAAGTGAATAGAAGGGTAAAATGTTGAAAAATAATTTACTATTAATTATGATTTCATAGATTAACTAAAATAACAAAAAAATTGTTTATTTATTTCGTGAGTATTTATTCTATGATGAGGAATATTAATTAATACTCGTACTAATTATTACTCTCTACGATCCTAAAAATTTTCCCTATTTTGATTTTTTTATCAAACAATGACATTCTTTAACCATAATCTAAATAAATAAATGATGTAAAAATTTGATGCATCAAAAATATATACTAAGATGAACCCAATTATATTATATTTTTTATAACTAAATATAGTTTTTCTCACAATTTATGGTCAAAGAGTTTTATTATTTGACAAAAAAGTCAAAATAGGAAATATGTTTTGGACCGAATGGAGTATTTTGTTGATTATCTAGAATAGTGAATAAACAATGTAATTATTTTCTGTGTTTATCCTACGATGTTGAAATATTAGTTAATGATATTATGTAGATGAATAGTTTATTATTAACTATTTCTCTATGTTTTTTATATCTAATTTGTCTCGAGACAACTCTCATTAAAATATATTAGTAAATTATGGCGAAGAGCAACTGAATAATTTGGTCTCCTTCGTTGTATCACAATAGTTTTATCTTATAAACCGTGTTGTTTATAATAAAGTAGGTAAGAATTTTTAAAGAAAACGTCCCATTTATTACGCGCCTTGAAAGCTTATCTGGTTAATTTTGTCAACCATGTTCTGAATTACATGTGCATGATCCCCTTCATTGGGATAGTAGACAACTTAGAATGTATTTTTTCTAACAGCAGTCACAACAATAAAATTACTTTTTATTGTTTTAACAAGTAGAAAGTCAGTGGTGACTACCAATAAATGTAGCCAGTGGAGGCACATTAGTCTAAATAGATGAAGATGCCACCACTCTCCCCTGCACCGACTCTGGAAGATGCAGACGAATAAAAGGAAACAAGCATCAAATTTTATGTCGGAGAGGCCACCAATAGCAAGTCTAAAGCC